ATTTAAGTGTACAGTATCCACTTAGCCCTTTAAAAAGTTCCTAGTTCCTTTACTCTTGGAGCTATAACCTCGAGATTCAAAGGATACTGAAATCTGTGTTCAATATTAAACAAGAAAAATACAAAAGGAATGAAATGTTTCAGTCAGACCATAAGATGGCATTGATTTGCTACAAATGGGGTGATTCCTACCACAGTAACCAAAGAAAAATGTGTTGGATTCCAAATGAAATCACAGATCATAAGGAAACTATAAAGAGAAATTATGGTACTGATTCAAGAACAATATAAACCACAATATTCTAAGTTCAGGAACTATGGACGTGAGACAATGAGACTTGCACTAGAGAGAAACATAAATCAATAACCTAACACAAATTCCTGGCTAAAATCTGTTATTTATTTCTACAGAAATAAAACCTCCCAGAAGCAAAGATCCTCTGCTTCTTTTCCCTTTTTGAAAGGAGAAAATGCTACTCTTTTCTAGTCCAGTAACTCTTGCCTTTATTTTTAAATGATGTTTTTTTTCTATCTCTAGCATAAGGCTGAATTCGGTAAAATTAGTACTGGCAGCCTTGTACAAGAAACCGTACCGTTTTGAGAGGACGCAGATTGATAGTCCTTCATAAAAAGATGGCATACACAACCACTTTTAACAATAAATTATTATGGCATTAGAAAACAGTGCTTTAAAACTCATATATAAAATGCAAAATATCAACTAAAAGAACAATATCAAACCACAAGACACTTGATGAATAAAAACAGCTATTCCCATCACTACAAATATCCAGGAATATATTTTATCCCTAAAATAAAGTAGCCTCCCCAAAAGTACAGCTTTCCCCATCACAATAATTTTCCATTACTCTCTTTTAGTAAGTCACTCCCATAGTCTCATGGGAAGATATTGCTTCCACTAGGAAAAATCTAATCTCTGCTGATTAGAAAGCATAAGTTGATACACATAATATATTAACAGTGATTATATTAAATTCATTAATTGTTGTTAGTAAACCTACACAGAACTTTAAAGATTTAAATCCGCAAACAAAACACATCAAGTCAATGTGCTAAGGGGGACTGCCGAGCGTTTCCGATAATGTATTGAGTTGGATTGGGGTTTTTTGTGTGTTATAAATGCATCATATTACTTATTGTTTAATTATAAAAATTAATAAAATTTTATTAAAAAAAAAAAGTCAATGTGCTAAGGGCAAAATCGAATTTTTAATTTTTCTGTGAATCTTTTTGAAAACAGCTTTACTTTCCCCCCAGGGCCTTCCAAATGCATGGAGAAAGACTGCAGGAGTCTTTCTGGCCCTGCCTGCAGGGCAGAAAGCAAACCTCCTATCCTTTTCTTCCACTAAAAGAAAGAAAAAAACTCTTGTTGAGGTTAAAGCCTAAAGATTCTTTCCCACAGGGGAACAAAATTGAAAGGGATGATTCTACCACAGGAGTCTTCAAACTTGGCCCTTTTATGACTTGTGGACTTCAACTCCCAGAATTCCTCAGCCAGCATGCCTGGCTGAGGAATTCTGGGAGTTGAAGTCCACAAGTCATAAAAGGGCCAAGTTTGAAGACCCCTGTTCTGCCACAACAACTTGGTGACCAGTGTCAGAACTCCATGCCCGAATAGACAGTAAAGATTCCACATTCCTTGTTTCTCTTTTCTGCAAATAAAAAAAGTCCTGGTGCTTCTCTGTAGAGAGGCTCAGTTGTCCACTACACTACAAAGAACAACCAAAATCAGCACAGACATTCGATGTTACAGAAGAGTAAAAGCAACCCCATACTGGCTGAGCTCATGCATCGCATTAAACCACTGTAGCTTTTTTTCAACAAATGGTGATAAAAGCAAATTACATCTTAACATAATGGGTTAATCTAATTACTAATCACTAACTAATCATTAAACAACCATTATTTAAATCACTTCAAATATGCAGATGATGTTGTTTTCTTCTCACAAGACCCAGAAGAGTTACAAAGGGACATATAAGAGCTGCACAAAGCCAGGAGAACTGTTTGGCTTAAAAATAAACCTGAAAAAGAACCAGATTATGTTTAATAAATTTACCAAAGAAAGAAAAAAAATTATATCTGGAGAAGAACTAGATGTAGTAGTACTACATTTAGTAGTACTACTAGATATAGTACTATACCACATATACCCTGGCCAAAGGATCTCAGTGGAAGGTGATACAATAAAGGAAATTGAACAGCGTGTTATATGTGGTTGGCAGGCATTCGGCAAGCTAAGCATAATTTTCAAGAATAACCTCCCCCTGTGCCTGAAAGGTTTTTGATCAGTGTGTATGCTACCTGCTCTAACATATGCCGGTGAAACATGGATACTAATCGATATAAAAACTACAAGTGGCATAAACAGCCATGGGAAAGATACATGCTCGGCATTGTAAGACAAGATAGAAAGACCTGCACATGGATTAGAAAACAAACAAAAGTATACGATATCATCAAGAGAGTAAAAGAATCGAAATGGAAACGGGCTGGTCACCTAGCAAGAAGAACTGATGGCAGGTGGACCAAGGCAGTCATAGAATGGATCCCACTTGATAAAAAGCGTCCACAAAAGAGACCTAAAACAAGATGGATCAGCAACATCGGCAGGCCCAATTGGCAAAAGAAAGCTTAGGACCGTATGGGTTGAAAACATGCAGGAGAGGTCATCCTGCAGTGGATAGACAATGGCTAAAATGATGATGATGTATCATCTACTTAATTCTAATAGGTCTGAATATTTCTTTTTTCTCTCTCTCCCACAAAAGAGGTTGGAGAAGATTACCTTAATAATTACTTAGAGTGGAGTGGGTGTTCTGATTTGGAATATATGCATTGATCCAGCAAGAAGAGAAAAATCTAGCAATGATAGTAGTTGGCTTTATAACAACCGCCCAAAAGTTGGATTGCTCACAATTCCTTGCTTCATATTTTATTGTGTGAATTCCTTTTGGAATTTTTCATTTCAAAACATACAACTGAATAATTGTAACCAGATAAAAGGTATCCATACAGATATAAAATACAATTCTTAATTTCTTTAAAACAGCCGATTTTAATAAATTTTACAAACTTGGCAAAATCACCCTTTTAATAAAAAGTTATACTTTTTTGAAGTTGTGGCTCTATTTGGGGGAAAAGAAAAAATATATATAAAGAACAGTTTACATCTTATTCATGTAAAAACATCTGCTATTCAATTTTGATTGATTTTAAAACATTTATATAGCTGCCCATCTTCCAACCAACTCTGGGCCGCTCCCAATATGTGCCGCATTCAACTAAGTTTTATTTCTGAGTAGAGAATCGTATAGACAGGTTCACACTGGCTTGTTTCATGACAGAATTTTTGAATAAAGTATAATTATCTACACTCATACAACATGTTACTTTAAACAAACTATTAGAATTAGTGTAAAATGAGAAGCCAATCACTAAATTGCATATTAAGATTATGAAAAGGAAATGTGTTAATCAGCTGATTAATGAATAGATGTTTATACAGTGCTCACAAACCTCATGTCTATCTTTATCAGATAATTTAGTATGTTATGGAAGGTGTATAGTTAAACAAACCATTATTTATTATACATACTGAATTTTTGTTTGTACTTGATTTTAATTCTCTCTTGCCTTATTATATTAATTGCAATCAGCTACAGCATTTATGAGACCCAGTTTAATGTAGCGATTAAACCATGGCATAAGGCTAATCAGCAAGTGGATATTAGATATTGCAGTGCTATCTTAGGCTTCAATTTAAACAACACACTAGAGTGAAAAATCAGACTCATTTGTCTTCATTCATTATTCTGTTATGTTGTGACAGCAATCTGATTAACATTTGTAAAAATCAAGAGCCTTCTATCTCCCACTGATGTTGAGGTTGTATACTGCACTGAGTAAGGTTTGGAGATGATTTTCAAGATTCAAGATTCTTTCCAATGATAATTCTATGACATAATGGCTCTCTAAAATAGAAAGAAAAAAGAAAGAACTGTTTCAAAACTATAGCCTAAACTCAATGACTCTCTCTAGTGAACATATCAGTAATTCAGGACGCTGAAAAGCTGAAATTGGACATACTAACATTTTCACTAAACAGAGTGAAGAAAACTTACACAACAGTAGTTTTCCCATCTCTCTGCACAACACAAATCCTGAGTGAAAGAAGCATAAATGATGCACTCTTGGGCAGAATCCTTCAAACACTCTTATTACCCTGGCCTATACTTATTCCAGAACAGGTAATCCTCAACTTACAATTACAGTTGAGCCCAAAATTTAAGTTGCTAAGTGAGAAATTTGTTAAGTGAGTTTTGCCCCATTTTACGACTTTTCTTGCCACATTTGTTAAGTGAGTGACTGCAGTTCTTAAATTAGTAATATGGTTGTTAAGTGAATCTGGTTTCCCCATTCACTTTGCTTGTCATGAGGTCTCAAAAGGGGTTCCCTTGACCCCGGGACACTGCAACCATCATAAATGTAAGTCAGTTGTCAAGCATCCAAATGTAAATCATATAACTAAGGGGATGCTGCAATGGTCATAAGTGTGAAAAATGCTCATAAGTCACTTTTTTAGTGCCATTGTAACTTTGAACAGACACTAAATGAACTGTTGTAAGTCAAGGACTATCTGTAGTTGCATTCTTGGGGCATAGGGTTAGCATTAAAGGTATTATTTTGCAGCTACAAACTGGGACCATCAAATACTCATAATTCCAGGATAGACAACTACATTTCAGAAATCTCCAGACGTGCTGGCAAGATCGTTGTCCAAATTTTCCGTTAGCACAAGTCTCTGGCTGTGAATCCTACAAATTGTAGCTGGATCTATCTATCTAAGTTGTTCTTAGAGAAAATGAAGCACCTTTCCAAATAAACTGCACGTCCTTTTCAACAGAAATGGAACAAAACTCCTACTCAGCTTGCCCCTATGATCCATTGCCCCCTTAGCTCTCTCTTGACAGTTCTCACCTTGGCGAAAAGGTTCTTCTCCTCTTTCGTCTCCTCTGGGTGCCACTCAACCACGTCCAGAGGGCGAGCCGGCGGGATCCGGGTAGAAACCGTGGGATTCGTTGTTTGGCCGGAGGAGACCGCACGAATCGGTAACCCCAGCAACCTCTGCGAGCCCGCCAGCCTCCGCAACGCCGCCATGGTCAACAACAATCTAACCGGAAGCGGAACCAGTTCCTCCGGAAGTTGCGCTGGGAAGGGGAAGCAAAAGTTTCACGCTTTTTGTTTTGTTTTGTTTGGATACAGTAATGGTGGAGAAGATCCGATGGATATTTCGGAATTGTAGAGAGATGCCTTTTTTCTTTTTCTTTTAAATAAAAACCCCGATAGAGAAGTTGAAAAAGCCTCTATGACGGTGTATGACTTAGATTGTTAGTGGCATTGAACTCCAAAGATTGCTTATTAGTATAAATAAATCTCTCTCTTAGGGTTTTCTCTTCAAATGGTCCCTACTCTATTGCCTGGATTCTGTATTGCAAAGCTAGCAGGTTTGCAAGGTGAGTAATAGATCAATTGCTCCAGCTACCTTTTATTCTGGAAAATAATGTTTCTGCCCGTAACTTTATTTTAAAAAGTATACCTCAGCTCAATTGTTTGTCAGTTTTCCTTATTGCAGCTGTTAATAGTGCTGTCCTGTTTTTTTTATTATTATTCTATGTAGAAAACGTCTCATGAATTCTTGGGGGGGGGGTTATTCCAAATACAACACCCTCCTGACTTCACAATGGAAAAAGTAACTTAGGAAGCGACAGGTAAAAATATTCCCTTGACGCCTGCTCCAGCTGTATTCTTTCCTCAAGGCCAGTGACACTAAATATTATTTAATATTTTAATGTACAATGATTTACCAGCTTCTAAGCCTCTTTGGAAGATTGTATATAATAAAAGGAGAGATGCAACGATTAATAAAGATTTCCATTTACGCTTAGGTTTACACAACGTAGTGGACTGAAGTGAGTTTTGGTGCAGAGTGTAAACCTAGCTGGTGCAGTTAGTGTACTGTTCAATATGATGCGCAGGCAATTCATAGATAAATTGATGGTTACTGTAGGTTCCGCACAGTTGGTTGGGTATCCCTACTCCTTTTGCAGAAGCTTTTGCAAACAAGGAGCCGATCTTTCTAGACTCCAACTAACAAAAAATATTCGCATCTGTCAACAAAGAAACAAAACGAAATCAAAGCAAACTCTCCGAGCAGCTCGGAGGACCAGCGAGCTGGCGCGAGAAAAGCGAACGACGAACCAGAGCTGAAGCGACGGAGTCTTGTACCAATCGTAAAACAGAGTGGGCGGTCACTACCACAGTGCGAACCAATGGGTGCACGCGGATGGGCTTTCTTGCGCGCTAGGGGAAATGAGGGAGGCGGTCGGACGCTCCGGTGTCACCGACGACGACCGTGACGCAGAGAGTCTTGGGAAGAGGCGGGGGGGGAAGGTGGCTTGGAGAAGCGCCGCCATTTTGCAAGGCGAGACGGGTGGCTTGGTGGTTTCTCTAGCGGTCGGGAGCCTGGGAAGGGTTCGCCAGGTGAGTAAGGCGGCGGGAGAGGCCGGGCGCGCCGAGGAAGGTGGGGCTTGATGTCCTGGACGGGGCGGTATAGGCGCGACAGGCAGGGGCCCTGGCAATCCGGGAGAAAGCATCGTTCCTCCCTCCTGGTCGAGAAGAAAACCGCCTAGCTTTGGAGCCTGGCGGAAACTGATCCAAAGGCCGCTTTTGTGTTTTCCGCGCTTGAAATACTCTCTAATTTTGCCCCCGTATCCGAACACAAAAGAGGAAGGGGAAACCTGCTCAGTAGTGGAAGGGGAGGGGGGAGCGGGAGCGAAAAGCTCCTATTGAGAGAGCCTTGGGCTCGCCTCCTAGGTCCTATGTGTATATCAATCAATCAGAATAGAGTTGGAAGGGATCTTAGAGGTTTTCTAGTCCAGCCCCCTGCTCAAGCAGGAGATTCTATACCAGGGGTAGTCAACCTTGGCTCTTTTATGACTCGTGGACTTCAACTCCCAGAATTCCTGAGCCAGCATGGCTGGCTCAGGAATTCTGGGAGTTGAAGTCCACGAGTCAATAAAGAGCCAAGGTTGACTACCCCTGTTCTATACCATTCCAGACCAGTCCCTTCTTAAAGGCCTCCCTCCACTGATGAATCGCCCACACTTTCTGAAGGCAAGCTGTTCCACTGATTAATTATCCCCACTGTTAGGAAGTTTCTCCTTAATTCCAGGTTGTTTTTCTCCTTGATTAGTTTCCATCCATTGTTTCTTGCCTTGCCCCTCTGGTGCTTTGGAAAATAAGTTGACCCCCCCCTTCCTCTTATGAAGAGGAGGGGGTCAATATGAAGAGCAACATGTTTTTGTGGCAGGTCAAGAACAAACATCAATTGTGGAGCAAGCTTTTGAGGTCTAGAATCTGTTTTCTCTGGAGATTGGAAGGGCAGATACTGCAAAAACACTGAGGAAAAACAGCGGAAACATTGAGGAGCTAAACGGGCCAGGAAATGTAAGACAGGCAGTTAGTCTGAAACACTGAGAACTGCATATGCAGCATGATAACAAAGAACCCCAGGTTTGCCAATTGCTGGTAATATTACTATCTTCAATATGATAAGCCCCACTCATACTTAGGGAGTATCTTCTGTTGAATTCATTGACATTTATTTTTGAGTAGAAACAGTCGTTTAGTACTGCTTACTGCATCCACTTTTGGTCACCATATTATAAAAAAGATGTTGAAATTCTGGAAAGAGTGCAGAAAAGAGCAATAAAGATGATTAGAGGGCTGGAGGGTATAAAATATGGGGTATATGAAGAATAGTTGCAAGAATTGGGTATGTCTAGTCTATTGTGTTTTTCCAAAAATAAAACCGGGTCTTATTTTTTTTGCCTCCAAAAGAGGCATCAGGTCTTATTTTGGGGGGATGTCTTTTATACTCACCTTCAGCACTGACAGCCCCGCCCAGCTGGTCCACTTCTGCGGCTGAAAGAGCAGCTTCATTCTGCAGGTGCATTTCGGTCTGCAATTTCGTAGTCAGGCCTTTCCGGAAGGCCTCTGCGGCCGAGTACCAAGCTATGGATTGAATCCACAGCTCAGTCCTCGGCTATGGAGGTCTTGCAGAACCGAGCTATGGATTGAATCCATAGCTCATTCTTGGCTGCAGAGGCCTTCTGAAAAGGCCTCTGACTGAGAAATGCAGTCCTGGCTGTAGGAGACACCTCAGAAGAAGTGGGCCTTGGAGGAGAGGCCTGGCTGCAAGGTAAGGGGATGTGTGGGGCAGCTCCACACCCCCACCCTAGCTTGATTTTTAGGTATGTGCCTCGCCCCAAAATTAGGGCTTATTTTTGGCATAGGGCTTATATTAGGCCCACTCCCAAAAATCAAGCTAGGGCTTATTTTCGGGAAAACAACGGTAGTGAAAAGGACTGGGGTGACAATGTTTCAAGCAGGGTTGGACTAGAAGACCTTCAGGGTCCCTTCCAACTCTATTATTCTATTATTTCAGTTTTCTGAGAATTGGTGGTTCAATTTGCAGTACTTGATGGGAAAGCGGTCTTCCATATTTCATCGTTCCTAAACTTGATTTAAGTTTAATATTTAAATTTTACATAAATCTAAACTAGAGCAGGTAGAATGATTTCTGTATCTTGGTAGAATATTTAATAAATATAGGAAAAGGGATGGAGAAATATTAGGATTATAATATTGATAGAAAGAAATGGGTAATATATGAGCTGTTGCAAAGGAATGTTAGACTCGGGAATGAATGGGTGCCGAGTGAAATTGAGGGAGTCCAAAAGGTATGATTAAGACAAAAGAACAGTTGATTCTTGTTATTCATGGATTCTGCATTTTCAAATATGCCTACTTGGTGAAAATTATTTGTAAACACAAAATACTCATGGCACTTTTGCAGTCATTTATGGATACAGAGAGAAGCAAAAAATTGAATTATACAAGCTGAGGTTTCAGTGTTTGCTAATTCAGTTTTCAGTGTGACTTCATAGAACATAACTATCATGAATAATGAGAATCTTCTATGTGTCGAGATGATTTAACTATATAGAGAGAATCAGACTGAATCACAAATCCAATATAAGAAGGAAGAGAAAGAAGAAGAAAAAGATTGTGAAAGTCATGGCTGGTTCGATGGAGTTGGTAAAGATCCTCCAAAGGAAAGAGTTGAGAATTTAAAAATAAAAGGAAATGTAAAAAGCAGTGTATGAAAGTGATACAAACAAGGTTGGTATGCAATGATATAAGGATATGGAGTGATGTAGTGAATGGTTTGATATAAATTAGATTTAGCTATATTTTGTTCTCTTTGTACCTGATGCCTTCATTACTTCTTCTTGTGTCATATCCGTTATCGGACGTTGGCGATCATGTTGGTGATCCTGTTTTTATCAGCAGCCGCATGAAAAAGTGCTGCTGAGTTTTGTCCAAACCAATCTCTTCGATTTGGAAGCCACGATGTTCTTCTTCTGCTTGGACCTCATTTACCTTCAATCTTTCCCTGGAGGATTAAATGGAGTATGCCGTATTTTTCTGGGTGTTGCATCACATGTCCAAAATATTCTAATTTTTGTTTTTTAATTGTTTTGATGATTTCCCTTGGCTTTCCCAGGTGGCTTATCACCTCCTCATTTCTGATCTTGTCAACCCAGCTTATATGTAACAGCCGCCTGTAAATCGACATTTCAAATGCTTCTAGTATCTTCAGGTGGCCCTCTGTTACGTAGGCTTATTATTTTTACTCCTTTTCTGCACTTTGCAAAACATTGGTTATATATATAGTAGGTTTTCCCCTCAGAACCCCTGTATCCTGTACATCAGTGGTTCTCAACCTTTTTAATGCCGCGACCCCAACCGGTCGTAAGTCGAGGACTAAACCGGTCGTAAGTCGAGGACTAAACCAGTCGTAAGTCGAGGACTAAACCGGTCGTAAGTCGAGGACTACCCAACNGGTCGTAAGTCGAGGACTTTCCCTGCCCGGGAGCGCCGCGCATGCGTGGTTCCGCCCCCTGCGCCGGCCGAGGCGTAGCTGGCAAGCGGCAGAGACGGAGCAGGCCGACCACCAGCTGGCCCAGCCCAAGGGAGGTAAGGCACCCACCGGAAAAGGGGAAAAAAATGGCGGACAAAAAAAATGGCGGACAGCCTTGCTTGGCGACCCCCATGAAA